GGAGGGGTGAAGGGAGGGCTAGGAATGGGGACAAAATAAGAACCAAGATGCATTATGTAAAGGTACAATTCCCAATGAGAAATGTAATTGTGTTTTATACCTACAATGTACCAATAAAAGAATTTAATACAAAAAAAAAACCTAGTCCTGAGTAAAACATGTCTTCATGCAATGTGCTGCCCCAATTCTGTGTCCTTGCCATGGCCACAAGAAAGCCATGAATCCTGTGATGGTACATTAAATCAGGGACCAGCAGGCAGGCCTTTCTGCAGCTCTTCAGCCCAGGATGCAGGCAGCTGCCTAAGAAAGTTCTATATACTATAATCACCCAGCAGTAGCCACCTCCTGTCACCCACACTTGAGGGGCCCCTCCAGCTACTCACAAGGATCTCAGGGCTCCAGTGCCTAGACTGGGACAGTCATCTTGCCTTGGCTGCCCCCTCATTTCTGCTGCTGCTCCCAACTGCATCTCCCAGGCTGACGCTTTCGGGGAGGGTGGCCCAGTGGCCAAAGGGGCCCGGGTCGACCTATGTAGGACCCAAGGTCAAGTTCCTCCCCTGCATCCCGCCACAGAGTGTCCAAAGCCATGGGGAAAATAGTGGAAAATTCACTGTCACCATTGCCAGAAAGCGAATTATGACTTTGTACTTTTCTTAAGCACTCAGTTTGGCTTCATACTTTTATCTTGTGTGGGCTTTCATTTCTGAATCTTGGCTATGCTCCTTAGGCTTAACCTAATTGGCCTCAAAAACACTGGCAATTGCATAGCCTGTCTACCTCCTTATTAGTATACTAATCAGTTAGGTACTCTTATTTGAAATTAACATGATGAGCACCTTTCCACTCAACTGCATTGATATAGTCACGGATACCTATGCTAAAAATCAACAACAGAAGAAATAGCTAGAAGAGTCCATCCCAGCATTAAGGGATATTTCTATTAATGAAGTAAATCAAATTTTTTTCTTGCAAACAGATAACGTTACACCAAAAATTGAGTTGTGTTTAAACATATTAACACCAAGCATTTATTTGTAAGTTTTTGACAGAATAATTTTGACCATAATTATATTGACTGTTGTTAATGCCCAGTATTAAGATGTAAAAAAATGAAAGTTTATCTTCTCTTAAATATAAGTTTAATTAAATATTAGGGGAAAAAAACCCAACAGTAAATGTCACAGGCTCGGGGAAAAAAAATAAACAGAAGAAAAAGGAAATAAAATTAAACTGCAAGTGAAAACAGTTATGTGTCTATTTTAACTTTTAAAATAGGCTCCAATAACAGTCCTTTTTTATTTTTAATCATACTGTAGATTGAACACAGGGACTCACACATGTTAGGCAAGTACTCTACCACTGAACTACATACAGCCTTTGACCTCCAGTAACATATTTTGAAATCTTCTATATTTCCTTAGCAAATTCAAAGTTTGTGAATCCATTTTCAAACAATATTCTAAGAAAAAAGTAATCTCCATCTTCAGAGATGGTCTTTCAAGAACATTCATATATACACAGTATGCACAACACAGAATATCCTACTGGAATAATTTTTTATTTATGAATATTAGAAATTTGAAATATAAAGATCTTGTGAAGAAAAGGACAAAATCATGGGTCAGAAATTGGGGAGGATTTGGGTGTAATCAAGAAAATTTCCCATGTTTTATTATGAAAGTTTCAAGATTGATAATAAATTAAGGATAGTAGTGTGGCACATGGGAAAGAGCAATAGTTTGAAGAATTTATTTTTGGCATTTTTATCATTAGATAGCTATGTGATTTGGGAGAGAACATTTAAGTTCAGTTTTCTTATCTGTAAAATAAGTATGTAAACATTCTTGTAAGGGGGAAGAGCATGTGAACATAGTCATATAAAAGCTCTTTGTTATAAGAGGAGGTTAAGGGGGAAGTAAATCTTGTCATCAAAGAAGTTAAAATAAGTCTACCTACTGTCAGACTGTATAAACTTAAAAATTACTTTAGAGAACTTTATCTCTCTCCCTTTTAAGGAGAAGAAATTTCACCCAAGACTGGTCTGGTTCAGATTCAAGGGGAGAAATTTTTGTTTGGGCAGGACGGTACAATTACAGCAAAGCAGGCTTTAATGCTGACTCCCTCCTAGAAGTCCTTGGGGGTAATACTGACCTTGCATGGGGATTATAAAGAACCATGTTATGATGATGGTCTCTGGAACAGGAATGTGCTTAAGAAGCACATTTTAGAAACATCTCACTCCTACCAGAGGCTTTCAGAGACTGACTGAGACCTGATTCAGACTGGCAAGGTGTATCTGCTTAAAATTGAGACAGATTTTTTTGTGTCCTTTTGTGGTAAGTTAATATTTCTGTGTGCTAATTAATCATTATAATTGAACATAATTCAGGGATAATTTTTCTTAGATTATCCTTTTACCTATTTACACCTGTATCACCTATTTTGAGAGTAAATAGTTTTAATTTAATCTAGAGTATGAAATTTGAGTTTACTGTTCTAAGTATACTTCTAGGCTTTCTGAAATAGCAGCTCTACTGTACCTGCAGATACAGCAAGTTCATACCTACCAATGTGAGAGTCCGTCGTGATCAAGAAGTAGGAATTCTGCTTATGTCAGCTGCTGTAGTTTTGTTATGTGTCCCTCTTCTAAGCTCAGGGGTAAATAGGACCAAGAACCTGTGCAGCTGTCCAGTTGCATATGGCAGATTCTCACTGGATGGCACTTTGCTCTGGATCTCGACCTGCTCACCTATGTCCTTAACAACTTACCTAGCCCTTGCTAGGCCTTCTCATAAGGAATTCTGCCATACACACACACACACACACACACACACCAACACCAACATACACTGCGTAGTTCTCCCCAGCTTTACAACTTCCAATGTTGTAGTGTCTAGAGACTAGTGTTGCCATGGTTCATACTTCAAGGCAGCCTTTCTGGTACTACTAAAGCCAACCAAGATGAACACATGATGAACAAGATGAACACATCTCCATGAACACTGATTTGAACTTCTGGCCATCCCTGAGGGACCAAGCCTTTAGTTCAGTCATCCCCTGGGAATTCTGGATTTCTTCCTATTTCGGGCTCCTGCTACTAGGATCCCAGGGGATGTCAGTACCAGGTGGAGATGGTTCCAACATCAGTCAGGCCAGCATACTCATAAATTCTACAGAGACACAAGAAGAATTTATTATGGAAAAGGAGTCTAACTGTATTTTGCCTCCACTGAGTATAAACTGAGAGGAAACTATGAGTAATGTATGCATGGGTACCTTATTACTATGACACAAGTTCTTTATTGGTAGGCTGAGTGAAATAAGGTTTCTGTCCTAAGTGTTATGTACCACTAGTTAAAATGCAACTATTAGCCTGCTGCAAAAAAAGGTAAAAAATAGTTACCAAATTGTAGCATGAGCTTAGCACCAACAGTCTAAAATGATCATAAAGCTACATTAAACTTGTAAAGATCTAATGAGTTGGGAAATGAGGAGTGCTTAGGGATGGACAGCTGGGTCATGGAGTCTGTAAGGCTCCAGTTACACAAGGCCTTCACTGGCTGTTACCCAAACTGAATCCCATTACACCTGCTGAATCTGTCTAGAGTCCATTTCCTCGTAGGAACCACTAACTTACCACTCATATAGATGTGCCATGAATATTCTACCACCTCTTTTGGAGGAATGTGTTGTGTTTCTGTTACCTTGGTGTGGCTGGGGCAATCTTCCGTTCTCTTCCAGTGCCCTCTGTTCTTTGGAGTGAGTGTTGTGTTGCTGCTCACAATTCAAATCCACCAATAGCTTCAATCGTCTTTGTATAGTGCTGACTCTTTTTCCTCAGATACTTGTTCATATGCAGCTTACTGTAGACCCATAACCTGTTTTGCTAAGGGACGGGAAGGCAGTTGTGAGGGCTTCCAGTTAAGCCTTTCACTGGTGTGGGGTTTTGTCCAGCTGTCCTTGTTTGGCTTCTTGGCAAAAAGAGTCACACTCTGCATTTGTGTAGAATTTACCCCATTATTTTTATTGCTGCCTCTCAAATAGAACCAAGTTAGCAAATGATAGAAAATTAAATCCAGATGATTTGTGATAAGTATGTTTTGTGAAAAAGACCACTCATAAAGAATACTCAGAATGAGATTATGTAAATGCTTCTGTTATCATGCCCTTCCAGTGGTACAAGCCATCTCGATTCTGAGGCAAGGCAAGGAAATTCTGGTTAGCTTTTTATTTATTTAACATTTCTGTTTTAAATGAGCAGAACCTCAATAAAGCATCAAAGAAATTAAATCTTCAAAAGGGCCTACTTCATAATCACCTATGTGCTTCATGACCCAAAAGAGATGACAAATAAATTTCTTTGGCCTCATAGTTTATAAGTATGTACTATCACAACAGAAATGGTTGTCCTGCTTATAATTTCAGGAAACCTGTGATTTGGAGAAGATAAAGCCTGAAGCCAGACGATACTTGGAAAAGTCAGTTAAAATGGGAAAAAGAAATGGACTCCATCTTCCAGAACAAGTACAGAATGTGAGTTAATGTTTCCTTTTCTTAATGGGAAAAAAATGAAACTACAATAAAAATCAGGAAATAGGGAAACACATAAGTTGTAATAAAATAACCCATAATATTAATCTTATTTACAGTATAGTTGGTATTCAATGCTTTGTCCTATAACTCCTGGTGACTGACAACTAATAATTGTTCCTTAATCCTGTCCAAGTTTTATTTGTTTCATGTGTTGGACTTGTTTCTCCTGCTCTATTTAATATCCTTTAAGAATCAGTTCCAGGTCTTAATAGTTGATTTGTATCTTCCTCCTTTGATCATACAGAGATAGGGTACTGGTAATAAAATCTTTACTGGTGAAGAATTTTTAAACCAGCACTTTGGAATGGAATACTCTAAGATTTATATATGTTCCTTAAAAGAAGAGAGATTAGCTGCCAAAAATTGCCTCTCAGATTTTTCCTTTTGTCTGAAGCCAGTCATGTCTTCCAGGTTCATCAGTAAAACTTGGCTGCAGAATTAACCTCATTCCTCATGAACAGGAAATATAATCCATGATTTATTTTCAGGTCATTCTTCTAGACAGCAAAACTGGAAATAAGTTTCAAAGAAGCCAAGTAATGTCATCCTGGTAGCCATAACTGCAGGCACCACAGAAATATGGGTTCCATTTTCCCACCTGAATGCCCCTTGAGCACCTAGTATCCTCTTCATCCTAATTAGAGGAGAAAGGTGACCAGACTTGCATGACCCCGTGCCTTCTTCGTCAATCTTCAGTTCTCTTTCAGACGTGAAAACTGTAATAGTTAAGATGTGTTTCATTGCAGCTAACAAAATCTCTTAAACAACAGAAGAAATTTTGTTGCTTGTATAACTGGAAGATCCAGAGGTAGATGGGCTTCATGGGTTAGTTGGATCTAGATGCACAGTAGTGCCGCTGGCCACCTGATTTTTTTATTTCTCTGCTCTGTCTTCTTCAGTGTTGGTTTGTATGAGTCAGTGCTTACTAGTGAAGCAGATTTAATGCAAGATATACAAATATATAAGAATTTACAAGATTGGTTTACAATGACTGCCTGCACACTGGAACCTGGAGCTCACTGTAGTGTCCCATGCAAGTCCATATAAAGAGGCTGAAGAGTCTCTGATGAAAGGCTGAAGGGTTTGCATTGGAAGCCAGGAGGTGATGTCCAAGGGGAAGGTGAAGATTGGAGTTCCTCTGAAGAAACAGAAGAGAGCTACATTTCCTCATTTCCTTTTGATACCATTCTGGCGACAGTCCTCCCTAGGGTGGGTCTTCCACACCCAGAACTATGCTGAGTTTAGTTGAGTGTTACTTACTCAGGTTGACAGAATCAGTTAACTATCACATAATGTTATGCAAAGGCTGCTTTTTTATATTATTAAAATGGCTGTGGATCCTTTAAAAAGACCAAAACAAAACAACAACAAAAAAAACACAATCAAGAAGGACATAGAGAAGCCCCTATCCAAACTCCCCTCGTGTCTTGACTCAGAGTAGATCCTTTGCCTAATACTGAGTCTCTCATCAGAAGTGATTCTTCTCAGCAGAGCCCCATTTTAAGAAACTTTGTGGTTTAAGTAAATTTCATTATCTAGCATTATCAGAAGAGTGGAACAGATTATAAAATTATTTCACATTTTTCCATACGGTTTCTTTAATACTTCCTTGGATCTCCCACCTAATACTTTTCTGCAAATGTTAGTAAGGGGAATGCCAGGCCTGGGTTATCTGACCCAGTCACTGTGGTAGGAATGATTACCTAACTGGTGTTTTCTAGCCAAACTATACTACTACAAAGTAGGAAAGAATAGGAGGGGAGGCCAGAAGTGGTGGTATGCCTGTAGTCCCAGCACTTGGAAGGCTGAGGCAGGAGGATTGCTGTGAGTTTGAGGCCACCCTGGGCTACATAGTGAGTTCAAGGTCAGCCTGAACTGCATAGCAAGACCTTGTCTCAAAAAATTTTTTTGTTAATGGGAGGGGAGTTGGAGAGTCAAAGTGTCCTAAAACAACATTGAAAATATGCACTAAGGCAGAAATCCCAAATTTAATGTGTATCAGCATTACCTAGAGGACTTACTGAAACTGGTTATAGCACCCTACTCCTAAGAATTTGCATTTCAGTGGGGCTAGTGTGGTATCTTGAGGAATTGCATGTCTAACTAAAGTTCCCAGGTGAGGCCAGTGCTCCTGTGCAGAGCTCCACTTTGAAACCCAGTTTACATGAATGTCATTACCTGGCATTCTGAGAAGCTGGGCCAGATTAATATAAATTTTTGTAATTTCTTTCTTACTACTTACTTTGCTCACTTACACTTTTTATGCAAACAATAAGATCCCTAAATCACTTTTGTTTGCAAAAGTTCTGTACAACTAAGACACTATCTTTTTTCCAAATCAACCTTAGAATTACTCAATTATCTCTTGGTTTTCTTCAGTACCAGATACTGAGTACTAAATTAAAATTTTTAAATATACTCATGGTAATAAGTCACTAGATTTTTCATTCACTCAGCAACTGTTTATGTGTACAGTATACCAGATACTGCTTTTACTGTAACTACTTGTTTATTCTTCAAATTTACAACTAATCCTAATATATCCCCAGGTTTGCCTTTCTGTAAGCACTACACAGATACCATGAGCACAACATAGAAAACTGCCAATTGCTGCTTTTCCAAACATGTCTCTGTCATGTTGGGTACAGAGTCTAGTCATCATATACAAGTGAAGTGTACTTAACTGATGGCAATAAAAATGAAAGTTTCTTTTTATTATTAATGTTCTATATATTTTTATTTCAGGAAATCAAATCGATGAAGAAAAGAATGAGTGAACTATGTATTGACTTTAACAAAAACCTCAATGAAGATGATACCCTCCTTGTATTTTCCAAGGCTGAACTTGGTAAAATTCTGTTACTTTTCTAGTTTAAATTAAGTAATTTATGCAAGCAATGTCACCTCAAATTTGTTATGTTTTCCAGAAAGAAATCTTAAATCAGTGTCTAAAAATTATTTTTAAAATGACCCAGTAACTAACCCTATCACTCTTGCTATGGAAAAGACAATAAAAGCAGCCACAATTAGACTTTAGGCTAATAAGAGTATGTACTATTTCTAGAATGAATCCAGGGGAGATTTCATAATGTTTTCCCCCATAATCTTTCTTGTTAACTTAACTGGTGTTCAGCAGCCTTCAGAACCTTGAAATTTTTCCTGCCTTGCAATGACCCCTACATTGTAACTTAAACTAGTCTCTTCTTCTGTCTTGGGCCTTTCTTTGCTCAGTTTTGTCTGTTCTCCTTCAAAACACCATCTGCGGGCTGGGGATTTAGCTCAGTGGTTTCACCGTCTGCCTTGCAAGCGCAAGGACCCAAGTTCGATCCCTGGTACCAAAAAAACACCATCTGCACAGGGGCAGTGCAGCCTGTTAATGTCATGAGTGCCATCTCCTGAGCCACCTGGCCTCTCACCATCACCCCCATTCCAAAAAAATCAAAATGATATTATAAAGATTATCATTATTTTACTTAAATTTCAATTACTCCACAAAATTTCCTAGAGCTACTTAATGGTACTGTGCCAATGCTAAATAAACCAATAACGAATGAAAAAATTAATGTATGAGAAAATGACTTTTTGCAGGTGCTCTTCCTGATGATTTCATTGACAGTTTAGAAAAGACAGATGATGACAAGTATAAAATTACCTTAAAATATCCACACTATTTTCCTGTCATGAAGAAATGTTGTGTACCTGAAACCAGAAGGAGGATGGAAATGGCTTTTAATACAAGATGCAAAGAGGTACTACAAATGTTTGTTCTTTTATTTTTATGGAAGATTTTCAGGAAAAGGCTTATTTTGTTTACCATTATTCAAGTCAGCTCAGAGACTGATATTCCTATTTATATGTGCATGTATGTATGTTGGGGGGTGTCTCATAAATCCTCAGGCGTAGAAGATTTTTAGCTTTTGCTTTGCTCGTTAGCAAGTTGCTCTCATGGACACAGGCTAAATTGTTCTAATAAAAGTAGAATGCATTAAGTTAACTAGAAATTGTATTCCTCCCCCAGGGCAGAAGCCCAGGGCTGATAAGGTAGCTCTCCCTCCTCAGTAAATGACTTTCAAGATCATTCCTAGAAGTGACTATTCCCCAGCTTCTTGGGAAGGAGGTGAGGGAATACAAACTGTCTTCAAGGACAAGGCCTAGAAATGACTTGTATACATATATCAACTCCATTGACCACTGAACCATATTTTGTCTTATAGCCTATCTAGCTGCAAGAGAAGCTGGAAAATGTAGTCGTTAGTTGACAGTCATTATCCAGCTTTAGAAAGTTTTACTAAAAGGAAAAAAATAGGAATGGATCCTGAGTCAATTGGCCTGCTCCACCATATTCTTTCTCACTAGCTATACAAGTTACCACAAGGAAATCCCTCCTATCTCATTTTGTTTGTTTGTTTGTTTGTTTGAGTCATAGAACCATTTATCAGTTCCTAGCCTGTTACTGTCTTGAGCCCAAAGACCAAGATCTCTGGGTAATACGTAGTTCCCAGTTGTATCTTCTCATCATTTGGCAGCCTATGAAAGGAAGGCCACATTACCAGCTACCTAACCCCAAACCATACCCCAGTAATGGAATAGGAGTGGAATAACCATACTAAGAAAAATCTCATTAGGAAAAATAAAGAGTGGAAAATACAGCAGACACATAGCAGTTTTCAAACCTATTTGGCAGGACTCATGAAGATAACATGTTCTCATGAAGTTCCTTGAGTAGCCCTATTGGACTTACTTGGATCTGCTTTCTGTCGTGACTCATGTGGATCTTAGTTTTACTTGCAAGGAGTTCTTTGTGGACCATTATCCTCCGTGACCATATCTTAGGGGCCTGCTGGTACAGATTCCCAGCTGATGCCAGTTTGAAGTATGAGAGGTGCTTTAGGAATCAAATAACCACAAGATTTTGAAGCCCAGACCTATATAATTTTTGGTAATAAAATTCCTTCAAAAACTTAGTTGCAGAGGGCCAGGGATTTAGCTCAGTGATTCTACCACCTGCCTCACAAGCACAAGGTCCCAAGTTCAATGCCCAGTACCAAAAAAAAAAAAAAAAAATTAGTTGCAGAGCCAGGAATCATGGCACACACCTGGTAAGTACAGCACTTGAGAGCAGAGGCAGGAAGACTGCCACAAATTCAAAGCCAGCCTGAGCTACATAGGTTTTTTGTCTCTTTGCTTCTAGTCAGACACAAGTTAAAATAATCACACCTAAACACTCCTTTCAGTCATAGTTCTTAAACTGTCATGTCATATACTGACTTCTGTGTTTTGCCATTCTACTCTCCTTAGTTTAATGGAGTTTGCTTTTCATTCCTTTGAAAAGACAGTGTTTTCAAACTAGTCTGTATAGTTTACAACTCAGAATGACATCTTTTCTCCTAATGTTAGGAAGACAGAACTGTTGACTTTTCAACTATCTGAAGCCCCAGATTGTAGGCCACAGGCACAATCTCCCTCAACAAAATTCTTTTCCTCCCATCTTTGCAAACTAGCCAGTTCTCACATGAACTCATGTCTCATGTTATCTTGTTGAAAATCAACACACCAACAAACACATGCCAACAAAAATAGTTTTCCCAAATAGCTCCTCTAGAGATACATCTTTGGCAGGTATGTGGCCTGTCTTCTAAGTATAACAACAGCTTTGATACATGTTCTCCATGGTATAATAAGCATCAGCAGCTTCCCATCCTGCAGCCTTTATATTCTTACCTTCAATTCTGCTTGCCTTTTTCACTTTTGTAATATCACCATCCTCCTTTTTTTTTTTGGTACTGGGGATCAAACTCAGATCCTTGCGCTTTCCTTTTGAGGCA